ATAGATAATCAGGGAAAATACATTGTTGAATGAATCTGTAATTAAATGTAACATTTGGTCACTTGCTTTCTTTATTCAAAATTCGGACAGAACTTATGGGATAACCTGATATATATGATATGTCCCGGAAAGGGATATATTTGAACGAAGTAGCTAAATGGTTTTGGCTACTATAACCAAGTAGAATATGGTCGCAGTAATCGACTGGTATGCTTCGTAGTCGCAGGTAAGAATTGTAGATCAATGGTGTAGTCCAATGGGCGTCTTTATAGACTTAGCTTTCAGATTAAGGCTCTTGACTCTCCTACACGTCTGTCTGTATTTATGACGGACACCATCCAATCATATTCCAGTGAGGGGGAACACAGGTGTATGCATATTCGATTATATCAGTTTTGTTGGTATAATTTGATTGTAAACCACTGGGCAAATTAATTAAAACAAAACGAATAATTGACTTATTACTTACTTTTTTCGGTATTTTTCCAATGAAACATGACCCAGTGCACATGTTAGTACTTGGTATATCCACTCCACGAAGTCGTTCCTTGCAGGTTAACCATAGATTCTCGATTGGATTTAAATTAGCATAGTTTCCGGGCCAGTCTATCGTACTTTGATATGCTCACTGCTAAGGCTTGCCAGTGTGTTCGTGCAGCGTTACAATTTTCGTACGCTTTCTTGGAGTAACGTCTGTCGAAGGCAATGATCGTGGGACAACTAATCGACAGTAGAGACAATAGAGTCTGGGCGTGATAAAAATCACGGATGACGCAGTATTTTTGAAGGCAAAACAAATTTCATCATACACCCCCAAAATAGATTCATATTACAAAACACCACTGCAAATGACCTAATCTGTGGAAAAATATAAATCGATTGCACACTGTCACTCTAGTGGGTCTAAAACTGACCGTAGGGTGAAAGAAAGGAAACTAAAGCGGTTGTTTCAATTAATTTGCACAAGCGTGAAAATACTTATATACAAATCGCGAAATCAAAATTGTCCGACACAGCCACCCCGCTAGATCTTTTTCTACTAATGTAGGTGTCCCTCAGAGCTCTATTCTTGAATTTTTATCAAATTACTTTCTCATGACATCAATTCTCAACTTGATATCTACGTTAATGGCATAACCATTTACTCCTGTTTCGGGCGTATGTCGGATCAATTTGATAAAGTCAAATTGGCAGCAGATCTAAAAAAAAAGAAAAAAAAAGACCTACAGTCTGTAGTTAAAGTGGACAGGGAATAACGTATTTTCCGTCTTACAAGACGCTGCAGCAATATTGGAAAGTCATTCTCATACAACAACACATTCACCATGCATCTCTCACATACTGGCGCCACGTATTGTTTACATTAATCATTAGTCCGATTTTCTTTGTATGGCAATGACATACTAAAGAGCAGAAACGCCCCCGTCCCTGCTAATAAACTGATATGTCCCGGAAAGGGATATATTTGTTCGAAGTAGCCTATTGTCTTCGCCTGTTGACTACGCCTATTGCCTACCACTACGACGAGGATCAGTCCATTACGGTTACCTGCTACATTGTCCTACTCGGTTACAGTAGTCCAAAACCAGTCTACCCCAGTGAGCGAAATAAAGGGTTCAGTTCGACATTCCAACCACCTGAAGAAGTCCGGAACGTACAACGGCCGAAACGTTGTAATAAATATGGCGACAAAGATGAGGACAATAGTCCGAATAATGTAAATAGTGTACACAATATCTCATCTCAGAAATATAGACAGATACTGAAATATGTAATAAATATGACAACAAAGATGAGGACAATAGTTCTAATAATGTAAATAGTGTACATAATACCTCATCTCAGAAATATAGACAAATACTGAAAAGCCGAAACGTTGTAATAAATATGGCGACAAAGATGAGGACAATAGTCCGAATAATGTAAATAGTGTACATAATACCTCATCTCAGAAATATAGACAAATACTGAAAGGCCGAAACGTTGTAATAAATATGGCGACAAAGATGAGGACAATAGTCCGAATAATGTAAATAATGTACATAATAATTCATCTCAGAAATATAGACAGATACTGAAAGGCCGAAACGTTGTAATAAATATGGCGACAAAGATGAGGACAATAGTCCGAATAATGTAAATAATGTACATAATAATTCATCTCAGAAATATAGACAGATACTGAAATGCCGAAACGTTGTAATAAATATGGCGACAAAGATGAGGACAATAGTCCGAATAATGTAAATAATGTACGTAATAACTTATCTCAGAAATATAGACAGATACGAAAATAATATCAGGTTGATTCAAAAGTAATGTTCGATTTCAAGGTCTATATTCAAAATCAAAAATCCCATGATTATGAAAATATTCGTTAATAAAATTTTCTTTGCTTTCTAGAACATCATTCCATCTATCAACAAGCTTATAAATGCCACGTCTGTAAAATTCCTTAGGTTTTGAAGCAAAATATGAATCCAACTCATTTTCAACCTCTTCTCTTGAAGGAGACCATTTCTAAGACTATCTAAATGATTCTGTATTCCCCGAAATAATCAGAAGGTCACGGTCAGGAGAATATGGTGGATAAAGCAATATTTCCCAACCAAGCTCTTGCAACAGATTTTTTAGTCAGCTGAGCTGTGTGACAACGTACATTATCGTGATGGATGATGAAACTCTATCTGTTCACTAAGAAAGGTCTCTTTTGATTCAAAGCTGTTTTCAAACGAAGTTGATCCCATTACAGATTAGGATTAATTGCTTGATTTTTTATTTAACAGTTCGTAATTGATAATTCCTTCAATATCCTACCATATACTCAACATGATCTTCTTTGGATGAAATCCTCCCCTTGGTTGTTGAACTGATCTTCCTTCTCGATCAGCGGCGTTTAACGTTGTGGTAAAGTATCTATTTTTCATCACCTGTAACAAGCTACCTAAAATGGTGCCTGGAGGTATAGTGAAAGCAATGGTTCACAAGTAACACGCTGTTGCAGATTCACTGGAGACTTAATTAGCGGAGCACGGTTGTACGTTAAATTGTTCAGCAAGATCCCTACAGGTAATGGTGGGAGTTTTTTCTGGGACAACAGATTCCAAATCTTCGGAATCAAGTTTTTTTTTTCTTTTCTTGGATGACCCTTTTTTTGTTCGTCTTTCAAACTGAAATCCCCGCTTCAGAAATGGAAAAACCACCTCCTGCAACTTTCATTCACTGTATCATCGCCATAAGCGCTCTAAATAGACTTTGCCGCTGCACTTGCATTGGCACATTTATGAAACTCGTACAGCAAGATATGTCGAATGTGATCTCTTGATGGGGCTAACATGGCTGCGAAAATTGCGGAAGATCATGGAGAATACTTTTATAATCTGAAAGTGAAAGGTATGAATTGCTTATTGTGATATTCCTTGACTATAACGAGAAGCAAAAATATAATTTTGCAAAATGCATATATTGGATACTATATATATATATATATATATATATATATATATATATATATATATATTAAGAAATGGACATGGTCCGACAATTTATTTATTAAAGACATCTTTTTATGTTTAACGTTGTTATTTTATAGATACAAGTATTTAAGCAAATGCTCTGTTTATGATAAACAGTATTAAATAACATTTACCGGCCTGAATGTCCGAGAAATTTTCATAGAAAATATTCGTTCTTTGACAGGATTCGAACCTGCATCCTATACGGAACCGTCATATACGCTGACGTGCCTTACCTCTAGGCTACAAAGAACCGTTCGGTAGACAAGTAAATAAGTTTATAAGCAGTAAATTCGACCTTGTCTACCGAACGGTTCTTTTGCAAGATATGGGGTAGGAGCATAAATACTGTCTAAAACTTTCGTCTCAAAAATAGGATATTGTAGTGATTATCATCACCATCATACATACAAATCATGCCACAAGCAATCATTGGTCAATCTCCTCAAAACTAGCTTGCTAATTGGTCAATACCGACCAATCAGATATCCTGCACGCGAGGAATGAAATTTCCCGCTCACTAAGGTTTGACTCAGTCACGTGATACACCATCTTATATAAACAAAACACGTGTAAGCTCTCTCTCTCTCTCTCTGCAGTCTCTCTCGCGTCTTATTCCTTGCTGTCAAAATGTAACCTTCAAGAACACCCGTCTTGACCATGCGGTCAGACGTTAAAGAACATTACTATTTCACGCAAGTACGAACTCTTAACTCTTCTGAACTCTTACCAACTTTCCCAATTCACATTTCCTAACATGCAACAGGAACTTTATTCTTCTAAAACTTCACTTTAATAATTACTTTCGTGAACTCCGGTACAAATATTTCCCAAATCTAAGAGACGTAACTCTATCAAACCTTCAGCTTATATACATGTACACCAGAACACTAATAAATTCAATTGTTATGTTTTGAACCATTACGTTCTGACTTGTATTTTATACTATGGGCTATTTTACGTCAAATCTAAATTGCATTGTGACCGCTACATGTTTGGTAACCTCCAGCGTATTTGCTTGTCTTTTTCCACGTCATTCCTAGTCAAAAGATAAATATTTGTGGCGCATATCGCTACAATATTAATTTTGTACTAACCTGATAATTTATAATTTGTAATTCTAGAAAATTCTAAATTTCTAAAATAATAATAATTATTATTATTATTATTATTATTACTACTACTACTACTACTACAACCTATTTGTTTATCCATATTCATTTTAAACCAGTGAACTCTAAATCTTACCTTTTTACGTTCAGTTTATTTTTCAGCCAAACCTTCGCTGGGGCAATCTTTAAACGAGACCAGTTATCAGAGGCGCTGACCAACAATGTTTTCTAATACCACATCATCTATTTAACTCGGGCGATATATCTTCTGTCTGACTGGCTGGTCGAGCCAACCATCTCGACTTTATTTCTATTGTGGCTTCTATTTTTCAAGTGGCGTTAGAGGATTGACTCCGGCTGGCCACCTCCTGTGATGATTGCCTCTTTTTGTTTCCAACACAAAAGAGTTCGCCAAGACTTCCTTTATCGGTTACTTGCTATGCGCACATGACTAACCACAGTCTCTGAAATGAACGAGAAAATAAATGCGTGTGTGTGTCTTAATGTGTGTATTCGTTCAAATGTGTATTTATGCATCACAGAGAGTGTGTATTTGTTTATTTCGTTAAAATTCGGTGTGTATTTACGTGCGAGTTTCGGGCTTCAAGTTGTATTGCTTATGAGCAAAGAACTGTGTGAGATAGTCGTCATGTTTGTGTAAGTCTGCGCGCGTATGTATGTTTTTCACAAAAGTATTCGGCGGTTAAAGACGATGAGTGTGTTTTGAAGCAGTTTCTTTCGAGTATCTATCTATCTATCTATCTATCTATCTATCTATCTATCTCATCTATCTATCTATCTATCTATCTTTATCTATCTATCTATCAGTCTATCTCAGTTATCTATCTATCTATCTTTTTCAGTTTGTTTATCTATCTAACTATCTATCTATCTATCTCAGTTCGTTTATATCTATCTATCTCTCTATCTATCTCAGTCTGCTTCATCTATCTATCTATCATCTATCTATCTCATCTATCTATCTATCTATCATTCAGTTTGTTTATCTATCTATCTCATTTCATCTATTCTTTTGAAATCTATCTATATCATATCTATCTATCGATCTATCTCATTCTGTTTCTTTCTATCTATCTATCTCATCTATCTCTATCTATCTATCTATCTATCTATCTATCTATCTATCTATCTATCTATCTATCTATCTATCTATCTATCTATCTCAGTCTGCATCTATCTATCTATCTATCTATCTATCTTTTTCAGTTTGTTTATCTATCTATCTCAGTTCGTTTATATCTATCTCTCTCTATCTATCTCAGTCTACTTCATCTATCTATCTATCTATCTATCTATCTATCTATCTATCTATCTATTTCAGTTTGTTTATATCTATCTATCTATCTATCTATCTATCTATCTATCTATCTATCTATCTCAGTCCGTTTATATCTATCTATCTATTTCAATCTGTTTTTATCTATCTATCTGTCTTGTCGAAAAATTATTCGGAAAATTTATTTTTAGTGTTAAAAAGACAAATAAGAATCAAAACTTTCATTGATTTTAAATGAATCTTGCATATATATGTGTAAGATAATGAACAGATATGAAAGTTTATTAATATAACATGTTTCTCGTTTATTAAAGCTTCATCGGAGAATGAGACAAGGGAAAAAAATAAAGAAATACATTCTGCTATTTTTACTTTTGGTTAATCACGTTAACCACAAGTTTTCATTGGTTAATCTCATTTGACGGACATTCAACCTGATTAAAAAACTTTTGTATAATTTATGCCATTCCGAATTTAAGGAGAGCCGACACGTCCTTTCGAAGTTCCAAGTTGCTAAACCTACCTCAAAAACCAAATCAATATGCGAAATATCAAAAAATATAATGTCTCCTAGACATACACACATACAGTCCCCATGCCGACACACAGGAATATACATTATCATCTGAATCTTTCATAGACAAAGTAGAATTATTATATGCTGGTCGATCTCTTCAAAGATGAAGAGAAGAACTGAAGCAACAGAAATGTGGTTCTACAGAAGGATGCTGAGGATACCGTCGACCGAATATGTGAGCCACGACAAAGTTTTGTAAAAAAATGGAAACAAAAGAAACTAATAATAAAATCAAGAAAAGATAGTTGAGATTTCTGGGACATATACCGAGGAGAGACGGCTTGGAAATTCTGACACTCACGAAACAGATAGAGGGCGAAAGGTAAAGGACAAAAAAAAAGCGTGCTTGAGTAAATAGACTGTGGAAGAGAGTTTAAGAGAAATAACGGAAAGTTTATTAAGAGGTACAAGGAACAGGAAGTTATGGAGGGCCATGATCGCCTAAAGAACAAGAATGATCAACACACTCCCGATTAAAGAAAACATGTGACCAATGCATTCCTGATTAAATAAAGTGTGTGATAGACATATTGCCAATTAAAGAAAGTCTGTGGCCCACATACTCCCGATTAAAAAAATCCTATGACCAACATACTCACGCTCAAAAACGTGTATGACCAAAATATTCACGATTGCAGAAAGCAGATAAACAACATACTCCAGGTTAAACGACGCGTATGACCGACATAATCACGATTAAATAAAGTGTATGACCAACATACTCCTGATTTAAGAACGTGTCTGGCAAACATACTCTCAAGGAAAGAATGAGTATGACGACGTACTCCCGATTAAAAAAGCCTATCACTAACACACTCCCGATTAAAGAAAGCGTATGACACCATACTCTCAATTAAATGAAAGCGTATAACCAACATACTCTCAATTAAATAAAGTGTATGACCAACATACTCCTGATTAAAGAAAGCGTCGAACAAACATACCCTCGAGTAAAGATTTCGTATGACCATCATACTCCCTATGACCAACATACTCCTGATTAAATAAAGTGTCCCACCATAAATAATCCCGATTAAAGAAAGCGTATGACCACCATACCCCTGATTAAAGAAAAACACTCCCGATTAAATAAAGTGTGTCAGCAATATACTCCTGGTTAAAGAAAACGTGTGACAAGCATATTCTAGAGTAAAGAATCGTATGGCCAACCTCCTACCGATTCAAGAAAGCGTATGACCACCATACTCACGGTTTAAGATAGCATATAACCACCATACTCCCGATTAAAGAAAGCGTATGACCACCATACTCCCGGTTAAAGACAGCATATAACCGCCGTACTACCGATTAAAGAAAGCGTATGACCAACATACTCCCGGTTAAAGACAGCATATAACCGCCGTACTACCGATTAAAGAAAGCTTATGACCACCATACTCCCGGTTAAAGATAGTATATAACCACCATACTCCCGATTAAAGAAAGCGTATGACCAACATACTCCCGGTTAAAGATAGCATATAACCACCATACTCCCGATTAAAGAAAGCGTATGACCAACATACTCCCGGTTAAAGATAGCATATAACCACCATACTCCCGATTAAAGAAAGCGTATGACCACCATACTCCCGGTTAAAGATAGCATATAACCACCATACTCCCGATTAAAGAAAGCGTATGATCAATATACTCCTGGTTAAAGACAGCATATAACCACCATACTCCCGATTAAAGAAAGCGTATGACCAACATACTCCCGGTTAAAGACAGCATATAACCACCGTACTCCCGATTAAAGAAAGCGTATGACCACTATACTCCCGGTTAAAGACAGCATATAACCGCCGTACTACCGATTAAAGAAAGCGTATGACCAACATACTCCCGGTTAAAGACAGCATATAACCACCATACTCCCGATTAAAGAAAGTGTATGACCACTCTACTCACGACTAAATACCGCCTATCACCAACATACTCCCGATAAAAAAAGAGTTAAAATTTTATAACGTTCGTTTGCAGGGTATATACCAAGAACGACATTTCTCTTTCGTGTGTCCATGGGGAGGAAGACTGGAGATACGACCCGTGGGGTTGGGCAAAATATTACTAACCCCAGAAAAAAAAAGGGAATATCGGAGATAAGGTTTTCAATTAAACTTTCTCTTACATGTCTCATGTCGGGTGACCAATAACAATTTATGGAGAACCAAAAAAAAAAAAAAATGCCTGGAATCCGCCCATATCAGTGACGTCACTGATAAACGATATTTGGCAATCAGATAGCCAGGGATAGTTCCGTTTTAGCATTGACCGGTGGGAAAGTCCGGAAGTGATTTTGTGTCCGAGCAAGGATGTTGGAAAGGGGGCGCTGCAAAGTGATTGAAATCAGAAGAGATTCCGGGACTAAATTGCGCGGTACAATGTGGATTTGGGGAGATTTCAAGATACTGAGACCAGGGGGTAAGGAAAAATCAGTGAGAAGGGAGAGGACAGTGAGATTTATGAAGAAAAAAAAGCAACATAGAAAGACAGTCCGACACATAGATACGAAATAAATGAGATAGATAGATATGAAGAGATTGGGATAGATCGATAGATAGATAGATAGATATGAACAGACTCAGATAGATAGATAGATAGATAGATAGATAGATAGATACGAAGACACTGAAATAGTAATGAAAGAGACTGAAATATATATATATATATATATATATATATATATATATATATATAGGTTGGTGCAAAATAATGACGTAAGAATGTCGTTTTTGACGTGAAAAGTACGTCAAAACGACATTATTATGTCATTATTTTTGACCGTGAAATATATATATATATATATATATATATATATATATATATATATATATATATATAGATAGATAGATAGATAGATAGATAGATAGATATGAAGACACTGAAATAGTTATGAAGAGACTGAAATATATATATATATATATATATATATATATATATATAGACAGATAGATATATAGATAGATATGAAGAGACTGAAATAGATAGATAGATAGATAGATAGATAGATAGATAGATAGATAGATAGATAGATAGATAGAATCAGATCAGATTGAACTCGATATCCTACTCGGATTTATTATTGATAGACACAATCTTAACATCATAAAGTATGACGATGACTGTTGATAGCAGACACACAACCGTAGCACAGAAAAACTTCACAGAAGAATCCGGAAAATACCTTGGACTAAGCATGAGATTAATAAGGAATTTTTAAGGAAAATGGAAAGAAAAAAAAAAGAGACTTATACTTAGAATTAGAAATGGACAGTCGAAATTTCTAGGACACATAAATAAGAGCTTGGTGAAAGAATGAAAGAGGGCTTGGTGAATTTAACACTCACGGGATATACTGAAGTTAGGTGAGACAGTGAAAACCAACGGGTAAACTACCTAACGACCTTGTGTAACTGGATGGATGATGTATTGTGAGGTATAGAAAACATCACTAAGAGGTCAAAGGATAGGAAGTCGTGGAGAGAATAATCGCTTATGTCCTAATGTGTCACAGCACTTTAAAGAAGAAATCATTTCTTTTATGACCGGAAATTATTCTATTATTTTTTCTTCTAATTGTGCTGGGGAAAAACATGCCATTAATTAAATAATTGAATTTGTTTGAATCGTAATTCCAGAAGCCAGAATCTTCAGATATATGTAAAAATTATTTTGCCTCATATCAGGAATTGGTTAAAAGTTTGGAATCCAGTGGTTCATCGTCTAATTTTGCTGATCTCATAATTTTTTCCGGGATTTTTAATCCAAATTGTCCAGGGCCAGTGAGATTTGGAATCGCAGCTGTAAGAGAAGAGCAGGAACTAGAGCCGACAGGAATCTAGACATTCGTCTGACAAAAGCATTTTTTTAGGGCTTCTTTCTGTCGGTCTGTCTGTGTTTCCTTCATTCTTTATTTCTGTCTGCCTTTCTTTCTATCTTTCTTTCTTTCTTTCTTTCATTCATTCATTCATTCTTTCTTTTGTCTTTCTTTCTTTCTTTCTTTCTTTCAGTCTTTCTTTCGTTCCTGATTTCCGTCTTTATATATTTATATATTGTCTATTTGTCTGACAATCTTTATTTCTTTTCTTTCTTTCTTTCTTTCTTTCTTTCTTTCTTTCATCTTCCTTCCTTTCGTGATTTATTTCTGTCTTTCTTTCTTTCTTTCTTTCTTTCTTTCTTTCTTTCTTTCAGTCTTTCCTTCGTTCCTGATTTCTGTCTTTATATATTTATATATTGTCTATTTGTCTGACAATCTTTATTTCTTTTCTTTCTTTCTTTCTTTCTTTCTTTCTTTCTTTCTTTCTTCTTCCTTCCTTCCTTTCGTGATTTATTTCTGTCTGTCTTTCTTTCTGTCTTTCTTTCTTTCTTTCTTTCTTTCTTTCTTTCTTTCAGTCTTTCCTTCGTTCCTGATTTCTGTCTTTATATATTTATATATTGTCTATTTGTCTGACAATCTTTCTTTCTTTCTTTCTTTCTTTCTTTCTTTCGTTCTTTCTTCTTCCTTCCTTTCGTGATTTATTTCTGTCTTTCTTTCTTTCTTTCTTTCTTTCTTTCTTTCTTTCTTTCTTTCTTTCAGTCTTTCCTTCGTTCCTGATTTCTGTCTTTATATATGTATATATTGTCTATTTGTCTGACAATCTTTATTTCTTTTCTTTCTTTCTTTCTTTCTTTCTTTCGTGATTTATTTCTGTCTTTCTTTCTTTCTCTTCATCTTTGCATCGCATTTCACAATCTTTCTTCCATTATTATGCTTACTTTCATCCAATTTTTTTTTCACTTATTCTGGTTTTTGTTATTCTGTCCGTTTGCTTTTTCATTTTTTCTATCTTTCTTTCTTTCTTTCTTTTTCATTTTTTCTTTCTTTTTTTTTCATTTTTTGTTCATTCTCTCCTTTCTTTCTTTCTTTATTTATATATTTTGGTTTGACATTCTTTCTTTCTTACTTTCGTTCATTCTTTTTTGTTCTTTCTTTCTGTCTTTCTTTTTTTCTTTTTTCATTCAATCTTTCTTCTTTCTTTCTTTCTGTCTTTCTTTTTTTCTTTCTTTCTTTTTTCATTCATTCTTTCTTCTTTCTTTCTTTCGTACTTTCATTCTTTCTTTCGCTTTTACACACTCTTCCTTTTTTGCTTGTGTCGTATTGTATCTTTTTCGTTTCTTTGCCTTTATATTATTCTTTGCACCACCTTTCATTCGGTATACTTACTTCCATTCAATGTTCGTTACGTTTTTGTTTTTTGCTTATTCACACTCTTTTTCTTTCTTTCTTTCTTTCTTTCTTTCTTTCTTTCTTTCTTTTTTTTCTTTCAGACCCTTTTCTTAATCTTTCTTCCATTGGTTGACATTATTTTTTCTTCTCTTCTTTTTTGTTTTTATGTATTCAGGATTTTTCTTTCTACCACTTTTACACATTCTTTCTTTCACGCGATTAATCTTAGTCATTCTTTCTCTTTCCTTTCTTTCTTTCTTTCTTTTTTTCTTATGCATATACACCACCCCTCTGTCTTTTATTCCTAATATTTGTACAAATGGGAATGAAAAAAAGTGGACATTTTTTTCTTAATTCCAGTAACATCATCAGGATAAATTTCGTGATAGCTTCTTTGGAGCAGAAACGTTTCTAAGACGTGTCTTTGACATAACCACGTAGAAGAGTTGGCTTGGCAAATCACAAAGTGCCAGTCATTGTCGAAGATGGCACGTCTGCACAAACAGATCATGTCTCTAAACAAGCATCGGTTTTTCCCTTATGTGTCGTCAGCGTCGTCCATTTTGAAAGAAAGAAAACAAACTGAATATTTCTATCCGGGCCATTCTGTTTCATGAATCAAGAAAAAAAAAATTAAAAAAAGGAAGGCAGAAAAAAAAATGAATGAAAAACGAAGAAAAGAGTAAAAGATTAAGCAGAAAAGAAAAATAAATGAAGAAAAGGAGTGAAAGAAAACTGAACGAAAATGAAAACTACAATGAAATAAAGATATTAAGAAAAAAATAAGGAAGAAAAAAATTAGAAAAGATCCAAAAGCGAGGGAAAAAGAAAGAAATAAGCAAGTATGAAAAAAAATGAAGGATAAAAACTAATGAAGAATAAAAAATGACAGAAAAAATAAATAAATGAAAAAACAGTGAAGAATAAAGAAGAAATAAAACATTTCCAGATATTTTTGAGTTATTCAGCTAAAAAGAGAACAGGTGAAAATCATTTTGTATCAGATCCACTGTATTCTCAACTGAGCAATGGTGAGAGGAAAAAGATCACCTCAGCCATCATTGATGGTAGTAGCATTCATACTCTGGCTTTCATCTTCAAAGTCTATTCAGGCACCATGAAAAGAACGGTGGATAAGTTTAAAAAAGAGGGAAAGAGAGGAAAACTGGATCAGGAGGTCGCAATGGGAAGAGGGATCCTATTTTCAACTTGGAAATAAAAGGGACAAGTAGAAAAGATCCAAAAGCGAGGAAAAAAGAAAGAAAAAAATGAAGGATAAAATCTAATGAAGAATAAAGAATGACAGAAAAAATAAATATATGAAAAAACAGTGAAGAATGAAGAAATAAAAGAAGAAAATAATAAAAAAGAAATGAAAATATTAAACGGTACGAAATAAAAAAAAAGAAAGATTAAGAAAGAAAATAGTTTAGAAAAGAGATGAAAAAGAAAAAGAAAAAGAAGGAAATCAGGGAGGGTGAAGAATAAAAAAGAATTTAAAAAATGAATGATGGAAAATAGTAAAAATAAAGAAAAATAAAAAAGGAAGTAAACATTGAAGAATCATACTTATTATAAAACCCAGGTTGTGTGTATGTGTGTGTGTCTGTACGTTTATATATTGGATCGGATTTCCTACATTTTTCAACCGATTTCAACAAAACTTCACAGGACTACGTAAAATTACCTTGCGGTGCCAAAAATTGAAAAAAAAACAATTGTTTTTGCACGAAATCAATTTGAAAACACGATTAAGTGGCATCGCGAGAATGAAAGGGGGACAACTCATATCAAGTTATACTTATTATAAAACCCAAGTTGTGTGTGTGTGTTCGTTTATATATGGGATCGGATTTCCTACATTTTTCAACCGATTTAAAAAAAACTTCACTTTTTTTTGGCAGGTAGTGTTTCTTATTGTCTTGCTCACTTTTTTCTTTATTTTTACATTCAGGATGCTTTAAAAATTCCATTTACAAGACAATTGTTTATAATAAAATTCTATTCAATCAGTAGACTCATAACGATTGAAAACAATGTTTTTGTTTGAGTTTGGGTTTGACCAATTCTTAACCCCCCCCCCAAAAAAAATAATTAAGACATGCGTGTCCGTCAACCTTAAACAATAATCTTTGTCAATTTTATTTTTCAGTCTTTATGATGGTCGATACTTGATCTATCTCTTACTGTTACATCCCCGGGCAACGCCGGGCTCTACTGCTAGTACAAAATAAAAAGAAGAAAAATTACAATGAAGGAAGGAATATCGGGAAGAATAAAGAAGAAAAAGAAGAAAAATAAAAATAAAAAAAATAAAATATAACCACGAATAAAATGATTGATATTAAATAAATGAAAGCAAAAATAGAAAAGACAAAGAAAAGAGATAACAAAAAAGGAAATTATAAATAAAAAAAAAGAAAAAATTACTCTAAAAAATAAAATACAAAAATGAAGAAAGGAAGGAAAGAAAGTAATTAATTTTAAAAAATGTATAAAGAGACGACGAAAAAGAAAAGAAAGAAATTGAGAATAAAAAAGAAAGAAATAATTAAACGTGGTGGCTAAAAAATAAAAAAAAAAGAATGAAGAAACGAAGGCTCTAAAAGAATGGTTAAAAAAAGGAAAAAAAGGAAAGACAGAATCTTAAAAAAAAGAATAGATTAAGAAAACGAAGAGGGAAGGAGGATAATGAATCGAATCAAAATTTGTGCAACACTGAAATGGCTGAAGATGGCATCGACGGAAACATAATGATGAAAGAGACAAGGGAGACAACTATGAATATTTGTCTGTTTAAGTCGCCATGTAATGATAATTAATCATATTCTGGCATTTTCTGTAACTCATCGCATGTTCACACCAGTATTAACTAGTGGCTTAGCCTGGAGATGACGTGACATAAAGTCTTCGTAAAAACGCCGGTTGTCATTTTTGTATTCTTTTAACGTCTGGATAATGTCAACTGTTCTTCCGATTTCAAGGTTATGCAGCCTTTTGTCAAAGCTCTTCATGAATATTCCGAGTGTTCCGATAACGACTGACATTTCATGTCCCTTTATTATTTTTCGCTTATCAATAGCTCACAACAGTAGTATTCTCAAGTGTTAGTCAACAATTACTACCACTGAGACCATTCGATAAGTGAATAATAATAATAATAATAATAATAATAATAACCCGACATGACAGAGTGGGCCAATATCTGCACTGGAAAATCTGCAACTTCTACGGGAAGGAAATTGAAAGAAACTGGTATCAACACCACCCAGACCCGGTTACGGAGATAGGACCTGTTACAATTCTATGGGATTACACAATACACACTGACAGAACAATCAAGGCCAACCGGCCAGATATTGTTATTAAAGACCACAAACAAAAAAAGTACCTCCTTATTGATATAGCAGTCCCTGCTGACTGCAATGTATCTTTGAAGATATTCAAAAAAGCTGTCAAAATACAAGGAGCTTGAAATAGAAATCTCGAAAATGTGGCATATAGGAACATCAACAATCCCTGTTGTAGTTGGAGCCCTAGGATTGGTTGGAAAAGATTCCAGTAGACTAATTGAAGGGATTCCTGGAAGTCCATGCCTCAAGGAGATACAAGTTCTGACAAGTACAGCCCACACTTTACGAAGGGCTTTATCTATGTAGTTTTTTTTTTTGTCAGTGGAAAGTGTCATGACGACATTTCTAACCTTAGGTCCCTGGGTGGTACCCGGAAAGAAATGTGTAAACGCCAGAAATCAAAGAAAATAAAAATAATAATATAATACACCTACCGCAGCGGCAAAAACCTTAAAAAGAAAGCAAAGGCAAATGCAATGGACTAAATTCAGAAACGATGACAAGAAAATCTGTTCCCGGTTAATACTCTGCCCATATCAAACAAGCTGGTGTAGACAAACCTCAAGCCCATCTGTGGCTACGTAGTGCAGAATTAAAAATTGAATCTGAAGGTTTTATTTTTGCTGCACATGACCAATGCTTGCTAACTAGAAATTACCAATCACACATACTGAAAAATTTAGTTTACCCAAAATGCAGATTCTGTGATAAATATCCAGAAACGATTGACTATCTTATATCAGGTTGTACAGTATTGGCACCCACTGAATATAAAACACGACATGGCAGCGTAGGCCAATATCTGCACTGGAAATTTACGGAAAGGAAACTGAAGGACATGGATATGAACATCACCCAGACCTGGTTACAGAGATAGGGCCTGTAACAATTTTATGGGACTTTACATACAGACAGAAGAATCAAAACTAATCGCCCAGACATCGTGATTAGAGAGCGCAAAAGCAAAATTCATGATTAGAGACCACAAAGTCAAAATGTTATTACATTGGAATCGTAATCACGATCCAATTCCTCCGACATACAAATTCAAAATTTTGAATATGAAGGTCTCAGGAATTGGATAGTGATTACGATTCCAATATAATAAATTATAACCATGGAATATATGTGTTTGAGCCTTTTATATTATATTTTTGCTCTACTTAGATTCAATCCTCTTGAAATTTATATATATATATATATATATATATATATATATATATATATATATATATAAGTGAACATAGAAGTCAACACTTAGAGGCCTGACGATTGCATCTAGCATGAAACAGACTGTCGCCTGTAAGTGTTGACTTCTATGTTCACTTTTATATTTACACACGCTCTATCTCTGATATTGAGCACTTTATCCCATAAATATAGCAAATCTTAAGACTATATTTCTTTATATATATATATATATATATATATATATATATATATTCACCACTAATATGGTATATATATATATATATATATACATAATGTTATGGAACGTTACCCATAATAACATAATGGACTATTCCATACGTAATAAATACTGCGCCTCAAGAGGAAGTAGAGAGTTCCGTCTGAAGTCTGGAGTGAAGTCCGTCAGGAGTCTGTCAGTCAGTCAAAGCGAGCGAGTCAGTCAGTCGAGTCAGTGGCAGTCCGAAATAGAATCGCGTTCAGACAATTACTACTAAACCTGATTGTTCGTACTAACACTTTCTACTTCTCTGTATATATTCCTGTTTGTAATATATCTGTGTTATTCCATATCTGTGTTCGAGTTCTTCTTTATTGGTTCTACCTTGGACTATCACCGTGGTACAAGGAACTGGACCATAACAATATATATCATATTAGTGGTGAATATATATATATATATATATATATATATTTTTTGTGTGTAACAATTGAGGACCAGTGTGCAAAATTTTGGCATGAGACACACAGAAGTCATGACGTCATTCTCGTCCTCCCTCAAAAAGCTACCGCGCTGATAAACTACAAAGTGACCCTCTTCTTTACCTCTCTCAGTGAAATACGATCAAAGCGAAAGGATTGATAGAAAGTAGTCACAAATAGAACCAGATACACAACTGCAAAGAAAGAAATAATAAAAGAACGAAAGAGAGAGAGAGAGAGGGGGGGAATATAAAGGGATAGAGAGAGGAGATAAATATATGTCAGACTTGGCCGAAGTTTATATATTATTTCACCTTGAATTAAATTTCAGATAAAGTTACTATTCTTCGAGGTGCCTTAGATTGTGGCATCGACTATCACTAACGATGATGTTCTAATTTCTCAGCAAATTTGACTGTGAAGAACACCCAAATGTGTGTCATAAAAGCGCGCGTACAAAAGCTATGCGTGCGCCAGTTTGCGTGTGCGCACGCGCAGACAAACAATGAGGATAAAATACGGACATCTTTCCTGAGGTGTTTATAACTTGTACACTGTTCAATTATTAACGTTAACAACGAACTATTTTAAATTACAAAATTGTACTTGGATTAAACGAAAATTACTTACAATATGATACATATTGCTTACCATTCCTTTTTGCCATCAATTTTAACGGCACGGCTACACAAATAATAATAATAATAATAGTAGTATTAGTAGTAATAATTACAACAACAACAATAATAATATTAATAGTAGTCGTAGTAGTAGTAATAATAGTAGTAGTAGTAGTAATAATAGTAGTAGTAGTAATAACAACAACAACAATATTAATAGTAGTAGTAGTAATAATAGCAGTAGTAGTAGTAATAATAATAGTAGTAGTAGGAGTAGTAATAATAATAATAACAACAACAACAACAATAATATTAATAGTAGTAGTAGTAGTAGTAGTAATAATAGTAGTAGTAGTAATAGTAATAACAACAACAATAATATTAATAGTAGTAGTAGTAGTAGTAATAATAGCAGTAGTAGTAATAATAATAGTAGTAGTAGTAATAACAACAACAACAACAATAATAATATTAATAGTAGTAGTAGTAATAATAGCAGTAGTAGTAGTAATACTAATAATAATAACAACAACAACAATAATAATATTAATAGTAGTAGTAGTAATAATAACAGTAGTAGTAGTAATAATAATAATATTAACAACAACAATAATAATATTAATAGTAGTAGTAGTAGTAATACTAGCAGTAGTTGTAGTACTAATAATACTAATAATAATAGTAGTAGTAGTAGTAGTAGTAGTAGTAGTAATAACAACAACAACAATAACAACAATAATAATAATAATAATAATAGTAATATTAATAATAATATTAGCTGTGAGCTTTGTTCCGGCGCAAATGATTGGTCTTCTAAATGATTTTTCAAAGTAGAAAACAAAATCTGTCTGCGCAATTCATTTAGAGAATTAGCGTGAAAGATGTTCCTTTAGCCATGTTCTATAGGAAACATGGTAACATTCAGTAAGAACAGCAAATAAAAGGAATGAATAAAAGAGAAAATAATACACGTGAAAAACTAATTCTACTACTACTACTACTAATACTACTACTAATAATAATATTTGGACAAGCCACAAAATAGAATACTGAATAAAATAAAAAGCCCTTTTAACACGTAGATGCGACATTTGACTTGTTTAAGCCAACGAGTCAGGCAAAATAAGGGCGTAATAGGACACCAGGAGCTGAACGAATTGATTAGGGGTATGAGTAAGATGTGGAGAAAGTACTTTGGGTGGGCGGTTTATACGGAGGGGATGGTTGGGGCGGTTTGGTTGAAATAAAGTAGATTTGAATTAGAAGGTTTAGTCCTTCACTGACGGAAGCGGAAGTTGAAACAAGACGGCCCTCCCGATACAAAGCGGCGTGTCATTTAAAGAAGCGGTTGGGAAAAGGACAGAAAAGGAGAGAGAGAGAAAGATTTAAAGGAAAGAAAATAAAGGAATGATTGAAACGGATTAAAACGAATTGATGATAAAGAACAGGGTCAATAAAAGGGAGAAGCGAATGTGTAATAATAATAACAATAATATTCTCCAAAATGTCGCCCATGAGGATATTAGCAATTCCACTTGTAGTTGGAGCCCTCGGATTGATTGGAAATGATTTCACTAGACTCACTGAAGGAATTTCTGGTAGCCCATGCCTTAAAGAAGAAATACAAAAAATTGTACACACAAGTACATACCACAGATTTTATCTATGTAAAATATGTGCCATTTTTTTTTCAAAAGTTCACAGTGAAAAATGTCATGATATCATTTCTGAACTTATGTCTCTGGTCGGAACCCGGAAAGAAATGAGTATACACCAGAAGCCAAAGGAACTAAAACAACAATAATAATAATAACAACAACAACAAAAATAATAAAAATAATAAAAAAAATAATAATAATAAATTGTTATTAAAGACCACAAACAAAAACGGTGCCTCCTTATTGATATGGCAGTCCCTGCTGACTGCAATGTATCTTTGAAGATATTCAAAAAGTTGTCAAAGTACAAAGACCTTGAAATAGAAATCGCGAAAATGTGGCATATGGAAACATCAACAATCCCTGTTGTAGTTGGAGCCCTAGGACTGGTTGGAAAAGATTGCAGTAGACTAATTGAAGGGATTCCTGGAAGTCCATGCCTCAAGGAGATACAAAAAATTGTTCTCAAAAGTACAGCCCACACTTTACGAAGGGCTTTATCTATTTATTTATTTTTTTTTTTTTTGGCAGTGGAAAGTGTCATGATGCCATTTCTAACCTTAGGTCCCTGGGCGGGACCCGGAAAGAAATGTGTAAATGCCAGAAATCAAAGATAATAATAATAATAATAATAATAATAATAATAATAATAATAATAATAATGACAGAGTGGGCCAATATCTGCACTGGAAAATCTGCAACATTTACGGAAAGGAAACTGAAAGAATTTGATATGAACGCCACCCAGACAGGGTTAAAGAGAAAGGACCTGTAACAATTTTATGCAACTTTAAAATACACACAGAGAGAACAATCAAAGCTAATCGCCCTGATATCGTGATTCGAGACCACAAAGACAAAATGTGCCTCCTTATTGATATGGCAGTCCCTGCAGACTGCAATGTATCTTTGAAGATCTTCAACAAACTATCAAAATAGAATGGGCTTGAAATCGGAATCTCAGAAATGTGACACATGAGGACATCAACAATCCCTGTTGTTGTTGGAACTCTCGGATTGATTGGAAAATATTCCAATCGACTCATTGAAGGAATCCCTGATAGCCCATGCCTTAAACAAATACAAAGCAATGTACTCACAAGTACAGCCCACACTTTACGATAGGCTTTATCTATGTAAAATATGAATTTTTTTTCTCAAAACAACTCAGTGGAAAATGTAATGATGCCATTTCTGACCTTAGGTCTCGGAAAGAAATGAATATACACCAAAAACAGAAAGAAATAATAATAATAATAATAATAATAATAATACGAATAATAATAATGATAATAATAATAATACGAAGGAGGAGGAGGAGGAGGAGGAGGAGGAGGAGTAGAATAATAATAATAATAATAATAATAATAATAATTGACAAGTCCACAAAAACAGAATGTACTTTATTATTGACATGGATGTTCCTGCAGACTGTTATGTGCCTGCGTAGAACTTCCAAAAACTATCAAAACACAAAACACCCTACAACATAGTAAACCAAACGCTATTTCCATGGCAAATCTTTTGACGAGCATTATGCCTTAGTTATGACCAGAACTGACCTTCACAGCCAAGACTATAGAGTTATTCAAAAGCAAGGAACTGATTTCGAAAATTTAATAAAAGCAAATACTGTTTTCTGCATATATATATATCTTTTGTGTCCTGTCACTGGATCTAACCAGCATTCCAAGTGTCCTTAAGGGTTGTGATTTCAATACCTTGCTAAGGCAGTGTAAAATTTGGAGAGGGTAATTAACAGGAGAGAACTAATGACATCCATTAGACATGGCACGTGGATCTATAACAGTAAACCCCAGTGAGCGAAATAAAGGGTTCAGTTCGACATTCCAACCACCTGAAGAAGGCCGGATCGTACAACGGCCGAAACGTTGTGATAAATATGGCAACATCAATGAGGACAATAGACTGTATAATGTAAATAAGATTTTTATTGCTGGTAATATATTTTTACAAATATGTATTGCTGGTAATTTTTTTTCTTCAAAAATGTATTGCCGGTAATAATAATTTACAAAAATGTATTGCTGGTTATATTTTTTCCTCAAAAATGTATTGCTTGCAATAATTTTTCCTAAAAAAGATTATTGCTGGCAGTAAAACCAATTTTGACTTCAATTAGTGGTTTAACTCTTTGCCCATAGTTGGGACCCTAACTGGTGCTACCACACCGGGTCGAGGTGGACCCGGGATTACCAGCAATTAAGAGGTGGTTTTACGCTCCTCAAAAATCTCCTGATCAGAGGCCTTGCTGCTGGACGTAGTTTATCGTCTTACCCAGGACGCCGGATTTATTTACCTTATGTTTTTCGATATCGAAACATTGTATTTTTTTTATGTAATACTAATCCCAATGTCTTTCCTGGACTATAGCAAAAGTGTTTTTCTGCGTAAGGCGTAATAAAATAATTAGGATTGGTCCGAGAAAGAGCGGGAAAGGATGTCTTTGTTCTTATTTTATGACCCCCTGTGTCTTTGCATTTTTGTATATTGCCTGTGCGTGTGCGTTTTTGCTACTAAAACACACACGCATGACAATTTCAACGACAGCCTCGGCTTTCGTGCACTCCGGTTTTCGGCCGACATTCTTGAACTGATTATAGCCGATAACCGAGGTATATATATATAACAGTCACGATTCTGATTATCTTCAAAATTGTAATACCGGTGTACATTAAAAATAAGCTTTCGAAATTCCCTCTTTTTGTACAGGAGTAGTGGTTTGTCCATTCTTCCCTGTTTAGGATTACGTTTCCGTTTCCTTCTTTAAACTATTTATCTTTAAATTTCTAACATCTCCCCCACCCCACGAACTCTTTTTCTTCTACCTCCTCAATAGGAATAGATAGGCTCGCCTATTGCCTGGTTCACACTCCTCCCCTGTCTTTTAAAAAAGGAGAAGAGGTTTCCTCTTCATGATTTGATTTCCGGTTCCTTTAAAGTCAATTCTATATTTCTAACGTATCCTCTTGAACACTGATATTTTATTTACTAATTATTTATTCATCTTTATTCATTTTTCTTCCGCTCAATAGGTTCCCCCTCTCTTACGGGTCACTCTCAGCTACGGTTTTTTGAACAGGAGGTTTATCCCTTGTTCCTTCTTTAGGATTTGTTTTCTGGTTCCTTCTAACGTCTTTTCACTCTCTTTCGCTCCTAGTAGCGCCCTTGCGTCTTAGTGGCATTATCGCCTTGCTTGGGATGGACTGATTAAAAAAAATGAAAGGGGATTGAATTCAGGATTTTAATTATTGCTTAGTGATCGTAACAGACTTGGTCAGGATTTGAACGCATCATACCGATTCCACGTTCCACGCCTATGGCCGTGACACTGCCCAAGTTGTCCCTGATAAGAAATACCTATCTTATGTCCCGACGTTAGATATTCGGTAAACCCACTCAAACTAAATCATTGCTTCTACAAAAAATATCATCTGATATACTGAGATGAGTTACAGCTGTTATTAAGTTGGTGTAAAAATAATGACGTAATAATGAAGTTTTTTGAAGTTTAAAAATACGTCAAAAAACGACATTATTACGTCATTATTTTTGCACCAAACTAATAGGTCAAGAGTTACTTGGTCGATTCATTCTTGTTATTTTTATCACGATTCGACCGACGCATTCTTCGTCCTCCATCAGATATATAATTTATCAGGAATACTTCATTTTTTTAAAACTGAATAGCAAGTTTTTGGGTGATGTAAAACCATTTATAACAAGACTACTGTCCCATGAGAACACAATGCTGATGCTCTGTCGCCGTTCAAATCAAAGTTAAAGGCAGAAACATTGAGAAGACCTCCCTCAACAATATTCCTATCGACTTAGTCTTGTGCCAGACTAACCGAAGCTTAATAAACATCTGCATAAACACGCAGGCACTCACACATTATGTCTCATTTTTCTCTATGATGCATTAAAACATAGTCATATGAAAAAATAGATATACAGAAAGGCGGATATATATGTATATCCGCCTGCAAATGCTCCAGCAAAAGGTACTTTTTTGTTTCTTCACACACGCACACATACGCACACACAAACATATACACGCGCACATGCACACACGTAAACAAAGCCTTACAAGTCCCAACACACTGTCTCCATCTGTATCGTCCCTTCTTCGGTTGAGCATCTTCGTCAACCTTCCCAACACCGCATCCGTTTCCTGCAACACCCCGTACACTTCCAGCCACACCCTTCTTCTTTTCTATTCTTTCTACCGATTCCATATGGTGTAAAATTCGGCGTGGGGGGCCTCTAGGTCTATCTTCAACACCATCATTGCTGTCAATAGAGTGCGGTCTTTTAACTCAATTCGTTTCCACACGTCGCCCGGCCATTTTCACTCTTACTTTCACTTTTACTTTCACTTTTACTTTCACTTTCCACCTATTTCTGCTGTTCATTCTGCCGTCGCCTTTCATCGCAACCGTTTGATAGCTTTCCTTTCCCGGTCCCTAATTTCCCCTGTTTACTTTACATCAGTAACTTTCACCCTCCCCTTTTATCTCTTCTTTGCTTTTGTATTATGGGGCAAGCCAGTGAACAGTGACTTTGCACATAATTTCAGACTTGTATATCTTGTTACGCATGCTTTTGCAGCTGCAATACTAGGGAGAAATATGTGTCAAGTTCATATTTTTGCTAATATACGATTGAACAGAACTGCTTTCTTTTTACTGAGATCTTTAAGTTATTTACTATTTATTTTACAGAACTACAAACGCAGGAGATATAACTGCATTACAACACTTATTCTATAACAACGAGTTTTCACGTGTGGATTTTTAAATATATTCTTCTTTTCTTTATAGTAATTTGTAGCTATTCTTAGGGGATCAGTATATTATTTGATAATGATTGAAATCTGCTCCCCCATTTATCATAAATTATCAGTACAATTTTGAAAATTCGTAAAATTGAAAATATGAAGATAACCCGAGAGTATTTATTGAAATTACCTTTAGTGATTTGAAATTACACTCTGACGCAGATTAACTTATCATTTGTCAAAATGTAGTGCAATTTGTGCACATTTGGATGACTGGTTTCGCTTGGTTTGTTTTACGGCATATCAACACCTCAATGGGTTATTTAATGCCGACATGATTTTTATTGCTGGCTATATTATCTATCTATCTATCTATCTATCTGAGTATATATTGGTTTGGTTTGGTTTGTTTTACAGCATATCAACCTCAATGGGTTATTTAATGTCGATAAAAATTTTTATTGCTGGTAATGTTTTTTTAAAAAATGTATTGTTGGTAATATGTTTTCCTTCAAAACTCTATTACTGGGAATATTTTTCCTTGAAGAAATATATAGCTGGTAATATTTTTTTCCAAAGAATGTATACCTGTTTGTATTGCTGGTATTTTTTTAAAGTATTGCTGATAATAAGTTTTCCTTCAAAAATTATTGGTAATAATTTTTTTACAAAGTATTTCTAGTATTAAAACTTATTTTTACACAAGTTTGGGTGTTAACTGTTTGCCCATAGCTGGGATCCTAATAGGTGCTACCACCCCGAGTCAGAGTGGATCTGGGAATTCAACGCTGCTCAAAATCTCCTGATCAGAGGCGTTGCTGTTGGATGTAGTTTATCGTCTTACCCAGGACGCGGATGTAGTTTGTCGTCACACCCAAGACGAAACGAATTGGCATCCGAGGAATAATTGGAAAAAAAAAGAAAGAACCAGAAACCTCCGAACAGGCCTAAAGAAATCGTTTCAGTACCTTGAATCTCAGCTACAAAGAAAAAGACAGCGAGTAATAATTTAAAACGAAGAGTACTCAATACGCTAAGTAGAGCAAAAGTAATTAAATAAATCCTAATAACCCAGGTACTACCTGCCGTTACACCCGGTATGTGTGCACGTGTATGTGTATACTGGTTCCATGTAGCTTGGGAAGTATGTGTGTATATGTGTGTGTATGTGTGTGTGTGTATGTACTGATTCCTTGTGGTGGGATGGTGTGTATGTGCGTATGTGTGTGTATGCGTGTATATGTACAAATGAGTTTACTAATTCCTCCTAGTAAGACAGTATATGTATGGAGGAGGAATATACGCACGCATATATACACGCATGCTGACAGAAACACGAAAATGGAAACAGATCAAAGAACACATAGGGGTCAGTAAAACATTAAAAGATAAAATGCCGATAACTAATTCATCATTTCGCTTGGACCAACTTTAATTGTTTTATGACCCTTCGCGCAGAACTCTTCATTGCCAATTCAAGAAAGACATTCGGATTACTAACACAGAAACAGAGAATGTCTCATATCGAGAATATTTAACATTGAAAAACATAAGGAAAAAATTAATTATTTTTAATAATATGTGGAAATCTCCGCTTTTAACTGAAGCCGGTCGCGAGACCAGAAACACGTGTAGTAAAATTATGTAAAACAAAGCATAATATTTTTTTCTAAATAAATCCACATTACAACCAAAAACGTTTGCGGCACCTCTCTTCTCTTCTTTTTAATATACATACTTTTCTCTCGTTGGAACCACTACAACGTCTTTCTTTTAGATGTATATATATATATATATATATATATATATATATATATATAAAATAAATCCTACTGAGCCAGGTACTACCTATCTAGGTTTCAATTCATTGGTTACCCTGATTATCCCATGTGTTGAAACCTATGTAAATAATACCTAGTACCTATAAGTTTTATATATATATATATATATATATATATATATATATATATATATATATATATATATATATATATATATATACCGGGAGTAACAACAAAAATATTCAAATCGTATAACAGCATAATTGTCCATCGCAAAAAAATGTTTAATGTCTACTTTAGTTTCTTTTTTTCCAGATATTTTTGAGTCATTCAGCTAGAAAGAGAACAGGTTAAAATCATTTTGTGTCAGATCCACTGTCTTCTCACCTGGGCAGTGGTGAGAGGAAAAAGATCATCCAGGCCTAGCATTCATACTCTGGTTTCCATCTTCAAAGTCCATTTAGGCACCATCAATAGAACGGTGAATAAGTTTTAAAAAAGAGGGAACAGTAGAGACGAAAACTGGATCAGGAAGTCACAACAGGAAGAGGGATCATCTTTTCAAATTAGAACTAAAGAGAACAATTAGAAAAGATCCAACTCATTCCATAAGACGGTTGGCACGTGAGAGAGGAGTTTCAGCTATGACAGTCCAAAGAGTATTAAAAAAAAAGTCTTGAAAATGAAATCGTACGTGAAACCTGTAAAGCACCTTGTTAGTCCAGGACAAAAAATTAGAAGATTAGAGACGGCGGAGATCATCTTGAATAAATATATATATATATATATATACAAATTCATGAATTATTCATATAAAAAACAAATACAAAGGTTAATGATTTAATTGGCGAGAAATCCATCGTCGCGAACAATTCAAATAATATACAAAAACCCCGAACCTGTTTATGAATGAAAAGATCCTTGTTTTTATAAATTCCTGTTGCATTAGTTCTTATATTTTTTTGAAATTAAATGTTCTTATATTTTTTTGAAATTAAAATAACTGATCCAAGTGCAACTTTTGGATAATAAGTGCGACATTACTGTAATTATTGAACAATATAGTTCATGCCACTTTGACAGAAAATTTACCAGTAAAAAAGAATTCACTTATCACCATATTTGTAGAAGAACGCACAATTGTAAAATTTAAAATCAAACTCAGCGTTGCTACTGCACGCTCCAAAAATAATAACTCATTTCTAATAGCATTTTTCGGATACAATACATATATTTTCGTTGTCCTCTTATTACTGAGAGAAAAAACAAGAACAACATCTATTCCATGCCTGAAGATGTCTGTAGGAACAGATGAAAGCTTGTAGTAAAAATAAGAACTAATGCAACAGAAATTTATAAAAACAAGGATCTTTTCATTCATAAACAGGTTCGGTGTTTTTGTATATTATTTGAATTGTTCGCGACGATGGATTTCTCGCTAATTAAATCATTAAACTTTGTATTTGTTTTTTGTATGAATAATTCATGAATTTGTAAATTAATTGCACCTTTATTAAAATATATATATATGTATATGTGTGTGTGTGCGCGCGCGCGCGCGTGTGTGTGTTTGAACTTTATTTCAATACTTCATGAGCTTCCGATCCTTAGCTATGATTAATTAATGATGAACATGTCAGAGAATTTCAGTAAGATATCTTTAATCATTTCGAAGTTGCAACGTTTCAGAGCTTAATCTAACAAATTGACAATTTTGCTGTTACACGATTTGGTATGTGTGTAACCGTCATATCGCCTGACGTGCTTTTACCGATTTCGCCACAGAGGTTAGCCAGGTCGATTTTATTTATTTGTTTACATTTGGATATGCACCGAGCAGATATGAATGTACGAGAGAAAAGTCATGGTGAATTGTAGTTTAAAAACAGTAAAATTGACCTTGCTAACCGAAAAGCTCCTCTGTGGCGAAATCGTCAGGCTATATGACGGTTACTTATAGGATACAGGTTCGATTCCTGTCGGAGGACGCATATTATATTTTCTATGACAATTTCCTGCTGAGTTTCCTTTCTTGAACTCATAAGGCATTATGTGCCTCAAATGATTCTTGGGTACTTCCATGTTTTCAGGGTTTTAATCAAACAAAATTTAATTTTATTGTTCTCTGAAATAAAATTTGATCAGTTTAAATGCATCTAAACATAAAAATAATGTTCAGCTCCATTAGACATTATAAAATACTCTTTAAATTTCGTTCATTTTAAGTTAAAATTCGGAGAGAACTTATGGGATGACCTGATAAATATATTCTCTCTATAAATACAATTCAAAAACAACATTTCATAGACGTGTTCATCGAGCCAATAAGAAAGAGCCCTTCTTGTTGTATTGTATATTCTGCGCCGGGGCTACATATAGTTTTGAATTCAGAGTTACTTTCTCCTAGACTGGATGCCAAACAAGAATACAGTCTGTCCTGCTATTTACCCAATTCGGGAGAAGATGAGGATTCATATCTTTCTCAAGCACGTAAGTGAATATACATATACATATACTGGAATTCGAAATCGATTCTCCGATTCCTCAATCCGAGTCGCTACCCATTACTGCACTGCGCCTCATTACATCACAAACCTTTATTGAATTCATTCTAAAAGAATCTAACCGCTCCCAAATTAACATGCGAATAATCACCATACATAATGCGTCTACTAGG